CATTTGCCAACAAGCAATCCTCTTAGTTAAAGTAGGCTTTTCAAAGATATACTTGATTGTATCCATTTTAGATATCAACCAAGTTGTACGATTCAACATATACTGGCGGAGGCGCTTGGCAGCCCAAGCTAAAACACAAAATGTCTTTTCAAGCATTGAGTACCGAGAATCATAATCGGTGAACTTCTTGCTCAAATAAAAAATGACAAATTCTTTTTGACCAGATTCATCTTCTTGGCCCATAACACATCCTCTTAACTCTTCCAGCACGGTCAAATACATGATCAAAGGTCTTCCTTCCATAGGAGGATACAAATAGGAGGTTCATGCAGATACTCTTTAATTCTTTCAAAAGCTTTATGAAAATCTTATGTCCATACACAACCCGAAAATCTTATGTCCATACACAACCCTGATCTTTGCAGAGAAGCTTAAAGATCGGTGCACATGTGACAGTCATATTGAATATAAATCAGGCGATATAGTTCAAACGTCCCAGGAATCCTCTAACTTGTTTTTCTGTTTTGGGTGCAGGCATTTCTTGAATAGATTTAACGTTACCAGGATCAACTTCAATGCCTTTTTTTACTGGCAATAAAGCCCAACAACTTTCTAGAACGAACACCAAAAGTGCATTTATTAGGATTCAAACGGGGCTTAAACTTTCTCAAACGTTGAAACAACTTTACTAAGTGTTCAATATGATCTTCTTTAGTCTTCGACTTAAAAATCATATCTTCCACATATACCATAATTTCTTTATGCATCATCATTTTTCACCATCATAGCTCTCTAGTATGTTGCAGCATCATTTTTCAGACCGAAGGGCATCACTCTGTAACAGAATGTTCCCTAGGGTGTAATGAATGTTGCTTTTTCCATATCCTCAGGCGCCATCTTTATTTGATTATAACCGGAAAATCCATCCATAAAGGAAAAGGTATTGAACTTAGAAGTATTATCTACCAACATATCAATGTGTGGCAGTGGAAAATCATCTTTCGGACTTGATTTATTCAAATCTATATAGTCAACGCACATTCAGACTTTTTCGTCTTTCTTTGGAATAGGCAGAATATTGGCCATCCATTAAGGATACTCAGCAGTCCCAAGAAAACCAGCATCAATCTGCTTTTGAACCTCCACTTTAATCTTCACAGCCATGTTAGGATTAGTTCTTCTCAATTTTTGTTTCACAGGTGGACACTCAGGCTTCAATGGCAAATGATGCTCCACGATATCAATATCAAAACTAGACATGTCTTGATAGGACCAAGCAAACACATCAACATGTTCTCTAAGAAGCTTTACCATCCTCTTCTTAACATCTGAATGAAGTAATGCCCCAATCTTAACTTCTTTCTTATCATCATCGGAACCCAAATTAATCAATTCCACTGGCTCTTCATGAGGCTGAATGGTCTTTTTCTCGTGCTCAAGCAATCGGGACATTTCATCTAGAATTTCTTCAACATCCTCTTTTTCCGCTTCAAACACAGGGAACTTAAAGTTGGGAGAGGGCATGGGGTCATTGTTTTCAACGGGTTTAACAAACAATCTGCACAATGATTTATGTTTGACTTTAGAATATGAATAAGAAGTGCAAATATTATGCAGATAAAAAGTGATTAACACGTTATTATTTTTTGGTTTTTTATGTTACCATTTTTCAGAAAAAAAGGGAAAACAAAATATGGATAAACAGAATAATATTGTATTGATGATGATAAAAGTTGAAACAAAGCCCTCATAAATTCACTTTTACCTTGCGTAGAGTAAAAGGATTTATGAAAGAAACAAAAACAAATTACTTTGAAACATGAACAACAGTAGGAATGTCAACAGCGATCCAATTTTGACATATCAATCCACGAGTCACAAAGCTGGGTCTTTTCTCCTCTTGATCATCCTCAATGATGGTACTGACTTCATACTCCGGTTCCTTAGGTCTCGGTCGAGGAGAGTAAAAGGGTACATATGCATCTTCTGTCTCAGAACCGTATCCAGGATCTTCCAAATAAGACTCCCAGCCTTCAGCAGTAATGAAATCATCTTCAAAACAATCTAAGATGTGATCTTCAGAGTCATCTTCAAGAATTGCAGCTGTAGAATAATCTTTGGCATGGATGAATCCAACACTTCGAAAAACCTCATGAATACTCTTCATCTCTTTGTGGGTTGAACCAGGTGTAAAACCTAAACCAACACTATCTTTTTTCTCAGCAACTTCAATGACTTGGCCCCATCAATAAACTCGGCCACTCTTCAACGCATGTTGTGCATCTTTCAAAGAAGACATAGACACCTCATTCTTCTTATCAACATTATCAACCACAGAAAGAGTCTGGAACGGAGTTCCAACATCCTCGTTAGCATCAATATAAGAAAAAGATGACAAATTGTTTACCAACATAGCCTGTTCTCCACCAACAACAACAAGTTTTCCGTTCTGGACAAATTTCAACTTTTGGTGGAGTGTCGAAGTGACAACTCCGACTTCATGAATCCAATGGCGTCCTAGAAGACAACTGTAAGCAGAACTAATATCCATTACTTGAAAAGTAATCTGAAATAAGCACGAACCTATCTTGATGGGGAGATCAACCTCTCCGATCACAGTCTTCCTCGAGCCATCCAAGGCTTTCACAACGATCCCACTGAATCTCATAAGAGTACCTTGATAAGACAATCTGGATAAAATGGACTTTGGTATCACATTTAATGATGACCCGGTATCAACCAACACATTGGACAGAGCGTCCTCCTGGCAATTCATGGAAATATGGAGATCCAAATTATGATTTCTTCCATATTCAGTCAACTCTTCATCACAAAAGCTCAGATTATTACATGCAGTTATATTAGCAACAATGTTATCAAACTAATTAACAGTCACATCATGATCTACATAGGCTTGTGCCAATATTTTCTGCAGAGATTATCGATGAGCCTTATAGCTCATTAGCAAGGATAAAACATATTTTTTTTGCGGCGTAGGCAAAAGTTGATCCACCACATTATATTCACTCTTTTTGATTAATTTCAGCACATCATTATCTGATTTCTGGTTCACATCACTTGATTGACCGGAATCAACCGAAGTCTTCAACTGAGTTTTCTTACCCACAACATCTTCACTTGTCTGCGAGGGTACATTAGCAAATACTCGACCGCTTCTGGTCACATGTCCTACATCTGCCATAATCCTACATTAGCAAATACTCGCCACCAAAGTCCTATCGTCTTTGACTTTTGTGAATCACACAAAGCCGTATCTATTTTCTCTCCTATCCCTTTTAGCCAGGATGAAGATTTCATAGATGAGTCCGAATTCCTTGAACACCCCAGACATTTTCTTTGCTCCGTAGGATTCTAGGAATTCCGTAACGATGAACAAAGATAATCCTTCGTTCACCACATTATCCTTTCTCAAATTTGCCCTCTAAACAGATACTTTGTACACAACATTCCTCTGTTTTTTCATAATTTTCATCCAGCCTTCGTTTAACATTTCCACCCCACAATTTAGAGGATTCCAGATAGAAGTCCCAAACTCTAAAGTTTGGAGTTTAAGCCAGATCTAAGATCACCCTCACATGGAGATGAAGATGTTGTTTTATGATCGTAACAATCTAAGTTTATTAAATATGATTCTTAAAGTTATGTATGACATGCAAAAATGAATACTGTATGATTGTTATGTTAACTTGTATGACATGCAAAAATGAATATTGTATGATTGTTATGTTAACTTGTAATAGCATTGATGGTTTTTTTGTACTTCATCACGAACATAACAATGCAACTTTTCTGGATTCATTCCAAATATACGAATTTGGAGCATTGTTATTTCAATTTTAATTGAATGGTTCAAATTAAAATTGACTTTATTTTTCATTTAGGATTAGTATATTTTTTCATTTTAAGTTTGGGGTTTATTTTAATCCTTACTTTAAAATGATTCATATTCATCATTTAGTTTCATATTCACTTCGTATTACTATAGTGTTTTTTTTTTATAATTTTTTTTACATTTTAAAATAATGGTTAATTATATTAATTTTAATAATAAAATGAATATTATTCAACCTTATTAATAAATAGTGAAATAATTATATAAATTAAAATACAATAAAGAAGAATAATATAATGAAAGCAAATAATAAATATTACTTTAATATTCTAAAAAAAAATATTTTGAGATAAATAAAAATAAGAAAAAGGATATTTTTATGGCAGTTTGTTTTAGCTTTAAAAAAATGATTTTTTTTTGAAAATTGATTCTAATATTACTATTTTTTTAAATATATTTTTATAAATTAAAAAACAAATTTTAATATACTATAACATAATTATTGAATATCTAAACATAATCAAAATTATAGTTTTTTTTCTAAAAATTGTATTTCAAATTTTTTATTTATGAAAAATTATTTAAAATAATTTTAAAATTAAGTATTTTTTTAAATTAAAAAATTCAATTTTTTTTAATTATATGATGAGATATATAAAATAACATTTTTAAAATAACTATTCAAACTGAATTTTTATTTAAATTTTTTATAAAATTTAAAATAAAAAATTTGCCACTACATTATATTACATCATAAAAATAATTTTTAAGAAAGTCAAAACAAAAGTTAATATTAATTTTTCGTTGAATTGACGATAAATTTAATGACTAACTTTTTAATTATTCTATTTTTAATAAAATAAAATATAAACTAATATAAAATAATTTGTAGAATTAAAATATTAATATAATTTTTTTTTGAAAGATAAGAAACCAAAATAAATGTTTATTAGTTTCTGTAAAAAAAGATATTAAATATTTTATTTAATAATTTCAAAATGCAAATTGGAGAGGAGAGAGACACGTGTGCAGCGAGTACAGCAAAGCAACGTGATGCAACTACTTTTCTCTCCAGGAAAGTTAGTTCTAATTCAGTTTCCGATTCCTCTTTCCACTTTCCCAAATCCCCTCCACAAAACCGAGCTAAATGGCGAGCCTCTGGCGCGCCGCAACAGCTTTAATTGAAAACCCAATCGACCATGACGGCACAGAATTCTGGTCCAACCCAGAACGCACCGGCTGGTTAATGAAACAAGGCGAATACATCAAAACATGGCGGCGCCGTTGGTTCGTACTCAAACAGGGAAAACTCTTCTGGTTCAAAGAATCAACAATCACACGCGTTTCCAAACCGCGTGGCGTTATCCCCGTTGCGTCTTGTCTTACGGTTAAAGGCGCTGAGGATATTCTCCATAAACCTTTTTCGTTTGAACTTTCAACACGCGCTGATACTATGTATTTTGTTGCGGATTCGGATAAGGAGAAGGAGGATTGGATTAACTCGATTGGGAGGTCGATTGTTCAGCATTCGAGATCTGTTACCGATTCGGAGATCGTTGATTACGATAACATGAAACGGTGATAGGAATATTGTTCACGTGCCTTGCTGGTTTGTTCTGAAATTAACGTACATTATAATGGTCCTTTTGTGGTTGTGTATATTGTGTTATATTAATTTCAGATCGTGTTGTTTTTGTACTTGAATTGTATGAATTATTATTACTATAGTTCAAATTCTAAAATTGTAAACGTTTGCTTTGCTTTTGATTTCTTTTTAATTATGTGGTGTTTCTTAAACTTGAGTGATTTGTTCAATTAGAATGATCTTGGGAGAGTTCATATAAATAGCTTAAAGTTAATTTATATTTTTGTTATAAAAATGACTTATAGATAAGCAATTATCATGATAACACTTATATAATAAGCTGCAAATAAGTTGTTAGATAAACATCATCTGTGTATGTGTTTTATTCTACTTGAGGTCATTTAATTAATTTTATTGTTCTGTTAAGTCAACTCAGTTGATAGATGTACAAAGTCATTAAATGAAAGGGTGAGGGTTTGAACCCGCTATATTCTATTTTTGAACCTGGAACCTTGAAAGATTGCATATGTACATTTGTCCAGATGTATATATTGTAGCTTCCATGGCGGGACTCATCTGTCTTAGAATAGCTTTTAGAAACAGCTTTATCGAGATTATGACTGTAGAAACAACTTTCACATCAGTTTTATATGATAAGTGCTTATTGAATCGTCACTCATTATTGAGGTCAGAGCTCCCTAAGTTTCGTCCCAAAGTGATAAATCTGAGACAAAGCAAGTGTCTGTATTGGAAATTTAAAAGTTTTGAGGTGAATAGTTTAGTAAAAGGAAAACATTTACTTCTAGCTATTATAGTCTGGTTCTGGCCTCAACTAGAAGCTGTCTTCAATCCTTAATGTTAAATTTTGTTTTCTGACACTCATTGCAAGCATTCCTATGCTATGGCCTTGTGTGAAATATTCATGTCGACTATAATTATATCGTTGTATTTTGCTTTCTTAAAAGATCTGTGATGTTATTCAGGCACTTACGCTATACTGTGACATATACTTGAGTTACCTATACTGTGAAATATAATTCGAGTCTAGGGCCTCTAAACTGCCAATATGGTACTTAACCAATTACATTTTCATGTAATCTGACTTACATAATGGGTCATTTCATTACCATCAAAGTTATGTTTGCAGAATGCACGATTTTTTACGGTATTATAAAATATACAATTCAGGTCAGAACTTGTATCTATCACATGATTTCAGTTAATTTAAGGGTATTATAAAATATATAATTCAGGTCAGAGCTTGTATCTATCACATGATTTAAGTTAATTTAAGGCCTAAGTGTTCATCCGTAGTCGTCGTGATTCTCTGTTCTATTTCTTGCAACATTATGAGAGTCTGTATACTCGCAGACCCTAGAAGAAAGCAAATGTAGATTTATTTGCCAAAACTCCACCTTGGGACACATTAAATTTGCATAGTTCAGTTAAAAGCAACCAAGCTTGTCATTCTTTTGTTGCCTAGAGAGACAACTTGTGTTTAATTGCATACAACTCTGTTTATAACATTTTTTATGCACATCTGCAGAGGGGGATATTCTGCTGTGGATCATGCAACTCCAATCCTAGCAAAGGATACTGAACTCTCCCTTTTGTCTTCCATAATCCCTGTCTGTTCTTCAAAAACTGGGATAAGCCACATTGAATCTGCGATTTCAATGATCTATTTTAGGGATTGACAGCTACATGATTTGTGTAGTCTTAGACCCTCACCAAACATGTCGTCTGAAGTTTTTTTTTTTTTTTTTTTCCTGTTTACATTTGCTTGTTGTAATGCTCTGCCACCTAAATCCGAACTCTGTTCCAACCACATTTTTTAGCTAAAAACAGAGTAAAAGACTCACCAACAATCACGGATTTGATACCAAATTTATTGAGTCCAAATCTTAGTTTTGTTTAATAGAAAACATGTCCAACTAGCAGATGGCTCTTTCTCTTGCAATGCCGACTCCATTGATGACAAGGTCCCTAGTCTTTTATTTTCAATCATAATATTCATAAATCACATTTTTATTATTTATTTTAAATATTTATCTCATACTTGATTTTAAAAAATTACACTAGTTTTCATAATTTAAAATTGCCAAACAACAAATGCAAATTATTAACTAACAATATTTCCAAATAATATAAAATAATAATAAACATTTGACGTATACAAGACTATTTAAGCTTTCTTGTGAACACAACTATATTCTTATCACAATTAAAAATGGTCTTCATATCATGGAAACATTGATTTGATTTCAATCAACTTAACTATAACATCTTTTTATCAACATTCGCTGATTAGGAAATTCTTCTGAACAAGCGATTCCGATTTTAGCAAACATCACCAAACACTTCCTAATCTTGTTTTCCACGGTCCCTGTCTGATCTTCAACAAATGGTTCAAGCAAACGTTGATCCACTACCTCAAGAATCCCTTCTGGAATTTTCACCTTACAAAATTGGTTTAGGCTTACATTCTCACAAAACATGTTATTTGTTGGTCTCTTTCCAGTGAGCATTTCTAATAGAAGAATTCCATAGTTATAGATATCTCCCTGTGATGATACTGGACCGCCTGCTCAGTACTCTTTTTAAACAATAATTGCAACAATTTAGAAATACTATTACACATCAAAGAAATGTAATGATTTTGAATTATTATACTTTGTAACAAGTAAGGGAGATAAAAAACTTACCAGGAGGAAGATATCCTATAGTTCCTTTAATTGTTGAGGAACTAACTTGATCTTTACTTGAATGTTCGGTGGCTCCATGAATGAGCCTAGCTAAACCAAAGTCTCCCAAATGGGCAACAATATCTTCATCAAGAAGAACATTGTTTGGCTTAACATCACAATGAACTACAACTTGATCTTCATCATGGTGAAGATAATTCAATGCATGAGCTACATCAAAAGCAATATCTACCTTTTGTGTGAGGCTGAGACTATGATTTTCAAACCCTTCAGTATCATGCAAAAACTTTTCTAGACTCTCATTAGGCATGAACTCGAAAATAGTAGCCTTGAAATCTTCTCCCTTGTAATCAACACTAGAACAACAAGTTAGGATCTTAACAAGATTTCGGTGCTTCATCTTTCCTAGAGCATTGCATTCAACCACAAAACTCTTTGTTGCCCTGCGTGTTTCAAGATTCAACCCCTTTACGGCAATAGGTGTTTCAAAGTTGAGAAGAGATCCTTTGTAAACAGATCCAAAATTTCCCGTCCCTATCAAATTGGCTGAAGAAAATCCATTGGATGCTTCATGTAACTCTCCGTAAGTAACTCCATTATTTTGAAGAGTTGGTGAAGAAGGTAACTTTTTGGAATTTATCGTGAGAAAATGGACAATTATAAAAGCTATGAAAGAGATCAAAATCCCACCAGATACACCGATGATGATAAGTTTCTTTTTTAGTGATCTTTTGTGCTTTTTGGAAGGGATCTTTAAACATGGAAGAAGCTTTAATTGAGATATCCCACCACAAAGGTTCTTATTTCCAATTAGGGAAACCTTTGCGACATTGCTAAATACACCTTTTTTGGGAACTTCGACATACAGATTATTAAATGACATATCCAAAGTATTCAAAAATGCCAGGTTTTCTAGTTCAAAGGGGATTGTACTTGAGAAATTGTTGTTAGAAATGTCTAAGACTTCTAAGGATTTAAAAGAGGCCAAGAACAAAGGTATACTTCCATATAAGAAGTTTTCCCCCAACCAAAGACCTGTCAATGATAAGCAAGAAGCTAAATCCTTAGGAATTTCACCAGACAAATTATTTGAGTTTAGATACAATTGTGAAAGATGCTTTAAGCTACCAAACTCTGAAGGAATGGGACCGGTGAAAGAGTTGTTGTACAAGTAAATATATATTAAACCATCTAGGTATCTAAATAGCTGATTTGGTAAATCACCAATCAATTTATTTTTAGCAATACTCAACATTTCTGTAAGAGTTAGTAATTGGAGTGATGAAACATTTTTTAGGGAAGATGGAATTGTACCAACTAGATTATTGGTCTCAAGAATCAAGATAGTAAGTTGCTTCATTGATCCAAACCATGTGGGGACTCTTCCTGTGAACCGGTTTACCAAGAAAACAAGTACTTTGATATTTGTGCAGTTACTAAGCTCTTTAGGAATCTCTCCTTGAAGTTTGTTATTGCTTAAGTTAAGAACTTCCAAGCGCCTCAAACGATCAATCTGAGCTGGAATTTCGCTATACATAGCGAGGTTTTTAAGTTTGAGTATTTTGAGAGATGTTAAATTTTTTAAGGATGGAACAAAAGCTAAGGGATCAATATGAATCATTTTTTAGTTAAGAGATCAAAATGAATCTCGAGATTAAGATACGTGATCAAAAAAGATATTAAGCCTAAAACTGTTATTCTTCATTGTTATCGCGGTCGGTAAAGAACATATATTAGATATTTTTGAGATGATCAAATGTTGGTGATCCTCATTTCATTGATCTTGAGAAAAATTAAATATTGAATGCAATATAGTCTTTATGACTTGCATTCATTTGTTTCTAATATAAAAAAAAAGGTTAGCTAAATAAAATATTCAATTATATGATTATTTAAGAACACAAACGTTGAACTCATGATAATTTTATGCATTTACAATCCATTATATAAATATTTGACAAAGTAAATACACTCTCACCAGACACATTAAATAAACTTAATTTTTTCTACTCTTACAATCTGTCAAAGTAATACTTTTATTTTGTAAAATCTCACGACGCTCTAATTAAACATAGAGAGTTTCACAACAACATTTGAGTTTCTGGTGGATTCACTTCTATCAAACTTAAATATTTATAATACTTTTATAATTAGGATTTTAGGTTTTACGAGGATCACAAAGTAAATACACTCTCACCAGGCACATATTAAATAAACTTAACTTTTTCTACTCTTGCAATCTGTCAAAGTGATAGTTTTACTTTATAAAATCTCACGACGCTCTAATTAAACATAGAGAGTTTCACAACAACATTTGAGTTTCTTGTGGATTCACTTCTATCAAATTTAAATATTTATACTACTTTTATAATGAGGGTTTTAGGTTTCACGAGGATCACTAATGGTAGTGTCTTAGCGTTGATAGTCATTAAATGGACAGTGAAGATTATTTTAAAGATGGTGAAGAAATCAAAAAAATACGCTGATATTTTACCTCGATTATCACTGAACACTGAGGTAAATTGTGTTTTTTTAAATAAAAAATACGCGGTTTCTGTTTAAAACTGAGGGGAAAAACTTTTTTTTTTTTATATTTACATGGTTTACACATAATTGTAAAATAAATCACTTAAACAAATCAAGATTTTAACAATGGATTCTTGGAGAACAACCCAGAGGAGTTATCTGTTCCAACCAAGATAATTTTTTTTGAGAATGTTGTGAATCTTGTTGTAAATTACAACAAAATTCAATACCAATTTGTGAGGCAGAGAGCAATAATAATCAAAATAAATGATCTTCAGCAATAATAATCCATACACAGATAATATAACAGAATAAGGCAAAGAAAAAAATCGAAGGTTTGTTTACCCAGTTCGATCAAACGATCTACTCTGGGGGAGAGAGCATCTCTCTAATTCACTATACTCAAAAAGTTGTTACAAGAGATTACAGATGAGTTACAAGAAAATAGTCTTCTCCTTCAGGTTCCCAAGAACAACCCTGAAGGCGTCCAAGAACAACCCTATTTTCTACCCAAGTGTTGCATAGCTGAAACCTTATGTTATACCTTGAAATCATTGGTCTCCCTTATTGGTGAAAACTCTAAGATGGTCACACACCGAACATATAAGAGATACATATTTATAATAGCAAATACCCAACAAACAAAGCCTAAAATCACATGATCCATGGACCGAATCAAAAAAAGTCCGAAAACGCAAAAACACTATTCACCGTACGGACGCCACTATTCACCGACCGATTTTTTTTCCGTCCGACTTTCCAAAACTTCCGATTTTCACGGTAAATGCAATCTCCAAAATATGTTTTCTTTCTCTTCATCAACAAAGGTTTTAAGGCACATTTACAACAATCTCCACCTTGACTTTAAATCGTATTGATACCAATTTAATAATCAATAACATTGTTGCTCTCTACCAAGTTGAAACTTTAATCAATAACTTTGATCAAATTCAAGCAACCCTTGAATCTTGATCTTGCAACTTGCATCCACTTGTTCCCAATTACCCTTTTCTGCCTAGGTGATTTAACAAGCCTACAAGTATGATTTTTCAACCACTCTTGACTCCACCTGTTTTCAAATGCCTCCCTGAAGGTTTTTCTTCTTTTATTTTGCAGTCCTTCAACCACATTAAAAACATAATATCCAAGGCTAGCATAACTGTCCCTTTGAGATGCTACAATAACACTCCTTACCTTATCATGAGTCAAATGATAATCAGAGATCTCTGTAACCGTTCCCTCACTACTACTAGTGTAACAGCCCAATTTTCAATAACTGATTAATGGTACTAGTTAATTGGTTTGTATGATTTAAGTGAATTATTGGATTTAACTAATTTATTCTATTTGGTAGAATAATGTGGACTTACTAGATATTCTCTAATTAAAGATGAGATGAGATATTTTATGAGAAATGAATTGGTAAATATTTTGAGAGAAGAAATATATTGGAGAGAAATAGAAGGGAAAGATATATAAGGGAAAGTGGAAGGAAAAGGAAAATAGAAAACATAAGAGAAAGAAAGAGGAAGAAGAGAAAGTAGAAGGAAAAAGAGGGGAAAGCTTGGAAAGCTCAAGAACGACTTCTAGATTCCGATTAATCGAGGTAAGGGTGTGAAATATTGTTATCTTACCAATGTATGTGATTATGTATGAATTGTTTGGTTGTTTTCCCTCATCTTCCATTCTAAGGCATAAATGAGTTTAATCGATAAAAACCGAGTTTTAACTGTTAAAAATGAGGATAAGTGGTAGAGTTTAGTCGAGGAATATTGGGCTAAGGCTACTAGAACGAGTTGGGATTGAATCGGTTGGATTTGGATGAGTTTCAGAGTTTTGGACAGTGGGGAATTCTGAGTTCGCAGACCCTCGCTAGCTTGTTCGCTAGGCGAGCAGGTCGCGAGCATTCGCTGGGCATTCATTGTGGCGAGCCAGTAGCGAACGGTCCCAGACTTGGACATAATGGTTTTGGTGTTCTTCGCTGGTAGCGAAGGGGGTAGCGAGCATTCTCTAGGCCTTCGCTAAGCGAGTGAGGTAGCGAATCAAGTTAGTGGCTTCTGTTTGCCTTCGCGAGCATGTTCGCTAGGCGAACAGGTAGCGAGCACTCGCTAGGCGAGCAAGGTAGCGAGCATGTCAACATGTTGTTTTCTTGTGTTTTCCATCCAATGGTTAATTGTTTGGTTCGATGATGTTAATCCTTAAATAACGTGAATAGTTTGTGTATTATTGAGATGAGACGTGTTGTGGGTAGCCTTATGGCGTGAATCCTAGATTGTGAAGTATGGCCTTTTGGCAATTATATGCATTGTTTGAATTAAACATGAATGCATAATGAATATGGTTGAGTTCGTTGCAGTTGACACGACCTTGTGAGTGCATATTGATTTTATGTGATAATGTGTGAAGAATGCGTAAGAATATATGTATATATATGTGCATTGCTTGGTAATGTGATAATGATGCTGAGAATATGTAAACGTGCGAGATTCTTACTCACTGGGGTAGAATGACAAGGTGTCGTTCCTAGTGTAGTGATCACCGGGGTAGAATGACCGAGATGTTGTTCCTGGTGGGGTATAAGCGATGTACCCATAATCCAAATGAGGATTTGCGAGAGGTGATGAGTTTATATGAGTCATATGGTATGTATATGTGATTGTTGTATGAAAGTGTGAAATGTGGCCGTTTGGCAATTATGTGTACAATTGTACGTACTTGTGTGAGGTGTAATGCGTAATTATATATATATATATATATATATATATATATATATATATATATATATATATATATATATATATATATATATATATATATATATATATATATATATATATATATATATATATATATATATATATATATATATATATATATATATATGTGAATATGTATGCATTTCAAGAGTGTGTGGAATCGTTTTGCATGTGAAGCATCATGATTGCATTCTTGTGTCTTGATCCCGTGGAGGATCTGCAGAAACCTCGTGTGCCCTTGTGGGGTGTGAGCGATGGTTTATTTTTGATCCCTAGGAGGATCTGCAGAAACGATCGTGTGCCCTTGTGGGGTGTGAGCGATGGTTTATTTTTGATCCCTAGGAGGATCTGCAGAAACGGTCGTGTGCCCTTGTGGGGTGTGAGCGATGGTTTATATTTGATCCCGTGGAGGATCTGCAGAAACCTCGTGTACCCTTGTGGGGTGTGAGCGATGGTTTATTTTTGATTCCGTGGAGAATATGCAGAAACGATCGTGTACCCTTGTGGGGTGTGAGCGATGGTTTATATTTGATTCCGTGGAGAATCTGCAGAACGATTGTGTGCCCTTGCGGGGTGTGAGCAATCCTGAAACATCGTGTCCCCATGTGGGGTGTGAGCGATGGGTGAACATCTTAGGCCCGATGGGGAGTTACTTCGGTAACGAGTGATGGTTCCTTTTGGTTCTTCAATTGAACCTGCTGAATGAATCGGTACCACATTTGCATCTGCATAGAGTCGTGAGTCGGTCTCTATGAGTTGCATTATCATCTTTATATGATGCATTGGTGATTAATTAAACATGAATATATATGTTATGTGAATAGGTGAAATGAACATGTTGTAAATGTTTATGTGGAAAGGACATGACTTATAAAAGTATGATTGATGAATGTGCTTAATTAGATAAACATATATTGTGACATATATGACGTTTATAATGAATTGTGGTGAGAAAATGTGGAATATATGTATTCGGTATTTGTGCATGTATATATATGATTATATGCATTGTTATTATGATAATATTTCTCACTCTTCTGCTTGAATGATGTCCTTCATGACATTGTGCATGTATCAAGGTGTAGTACTGCTCGTAGTTGTGAGGCCGCTATTGGTGTAACTGTTTAGTGATTTAATTGTATTGGGTCGAGTCGTGCTCTAGTCGTGTAACACTGGGATCGTTTGGGTTATGTTTCAGATGTATATTATGTTGTTGGCCTCAGTGCCTAAGTGATGTGGATTTATGTGATAAACGCAAATATTTTTTTTATGAAAAATTGTGATATAAATGAATCCGCTACTACATGCAAATGAAATTTTGTAAAGTATGATTATTTAT